AGTTCCAGAAAACAAAGTGCTCCATTTAGATGCCTGAACACTAGCATCTGCTCTTTGAGATGCCCTGAGGCACCCGAGATACATGTGGGGTTGGCAGATACTACATAGGATGTATGGAAGCAGGAGACATGGAGACCATGCAGGACACCCCAGGGCATCTCAAATGGTATTCAATGCCAAAGCACAAGCAACTGAACCAAGTTCTAAAAATCATGTTTATGCTGAAGTCAGCTGTAGCTCTCCCATATCTAATCAACGTGTATCTTGCAGAGCAGCTAAGCTGAAAAAGAGCTACAAAAGAATTGCATCCTTATTTTGGGTCTGCCGAAATCTGGCAGAGCTTATGGACTGTGTCAGCTTATTTTGTTATGAACATATAATGCTCACTGAACCCCATGAGCTGCTGTGATAACAATCTCTGCCAGCTTGCTGAATGGATTCCTTTCAGTTGCTGCCTCTGAAGTTATGTGGCTAGAACAGAGCTTCTGCAGTGCACTGGGAACACCAGGTTTCAGCTATGGGAGCAAGAAAGCTGTCTGGAAAGATTAACGGGCTCAGAATTGATTATCAGACCATAGGAGCAGAAGGTCATTGTGTCAAGGCTCCTGGCTACCACAGTGAGAATGTACTACTGGCTAATCCTCTTATCAACACATGCACTTCCACGAGGAAGAATACCACTAATGATTTAAATCCAATTTTTATATAATCACTGCAGTGTTTATTACAGTGAGGTTGTTATGGCATTACAGTCTTAACTGAGCTAGATGACAGAAGAGGATACAAGTCTTTCATCTGCAGTTAATAAATCTGGGGTCCCATGAAGGCTGAGTAGGTCTTTCATAGAATCATAGAATACTTTATGTTGGGAAAGACCTCTAAGATCATCCCAGTTCAACCATTAACCTGGCACAACCAAGTCCACCACTAAACCACACTCCTAATGTCAAAGCTACACATCTTTTAAAAACATCCAGGGATGGTGACTCCCCTATTTCCCTGGGGTTGTTCCAATACTTGACAACCCTTTTGATGAAGATCTCAGGACCGAACAATAAACTTTGTACCGTAAGTATTTCCAGCAATTAATGTTAAATGAGCATGACTAGATATATTACTAATTTTCTGGACTATCAGCAAGGAGTAGTGACAAAATTTTTCCTTTAGGAGTTACTTAGACTGAAACAATCTTCGTACAGGTTAAACCTGAGAATATCCAATTAAGAGACCTAAGTGATTAAAAACCAGAAAATATGACTTATCGTTGGATTTTATTATTAAGAAATGTAATAAGAAACAGTTATTTGTATGTACCAGCATACACCTTCCCATCCAGCTTAGCACTGTAAGTAATTTTTTCATAACACGCATTTAAACAGCCTCCATCCTTGAGTACAGGTTACATGAGTGAATACTGCCATCTAGGCAGGCTTTTGGGAGCAACACCTATTTTAGAACATTAATCCATCTTTGCCAGAGAAAAATATTCTTTTACCCAAAGCAGAGGAGAAAGAAACCATTTTTTATACTATTAAAACTGACACAACACCAGCCACCAAAAACACAAAACCTGCCCTTCAACTGGATTGTAGCAATACACATTAAGAGCAAATATTATCTACATGTTTATTAAGAAATATATTATTCCATATTTCAATACAGGCCACTTGAACTTAAGCTTTGCACTGAATTAGAAATCACCTTTTTTCTTTGAAAACTGTAAATATAAAGTATATTTTATTAAGGCTATTAATTACCAAAGTACATTTCACTAAGGCAGTACTATAATTGCATCTATTTTTTATGCTTTGAAATACAGTAACAGTACATTTTTAGGAGACACTTACTAAAATATCTGTTGATGTTCTACAAAGACAGAAATAATTTTTAAAACCATTTTTCTTCATATGACCCAAATAGCTTCCATCCAGCACAAAAAAATATAAAGCATGTAAAGCATTTATCTTATTTCTGACAATAAACAAGTTCTATACACGGCATTTACAGGAGACTTGCAAGATTTGACAACAATCTCATTTTGATTGGATACATTAAAAACTAACTTCATTATCAGTTGTGGGATCCTTTAGGGAATGCACAAATTATGAACACAGAATCCTACACAAAACAGTAGAACCTGAAAAGATAACAATTTTTGCACTTTCCACAGATCCACTGATACTGACTGTGAAGCTATCCCTCCTCAGGTTCCTCCCCGGTATGTTTCAGCTGTCACCTTGAGGATTGTCCTGAGCAGGTTTGTGTACAAAGGTATTCTTCTTTCTCTCAGAAAGACCCCCCTGAATAATCACAGAAATGTGATTGTCTGGCTACTGACATCCATCTCCTCAGCCCCACTCCACTCTTTCCCCCACTTGGTAAGAAGCAATGCAGAATGAGACTGATTTGTACGGACAGCAAAGCAGAAAAAAGGAAGAGAAATTGCTTTTCACACAACTGCTTAATAGCAGACACATTCCAATTCTAGAAGGAAGGATATTGCAGCAAAGATGTATCAATTAAGCCTCCCACTCAGAGCAACAAAGCAAAAAATGCTCTCCTCCTTTCTCAAGAAAAATGGACTTCACCCTGCAGAAAGGGAAATCAGTATGAGGGACTGTTTTGCATGAAGACACTCAAGTAAAACACTGATGCCACCAGTTAAAGCAGGTGTCCATCACACAAATTGGTCTGACTGACTAAGTCAGGCTTATTGTGTTGAAAACAGAGTTACATTCAGGTAACTTCTTTGGGTTTTTCCAAAACAATAGCAAAACTAAGAGACAACATGAGCATATTGTTTTATTGAATAAAATTCTGCGTCTCATATTTACACAGTGAAGTCTAGATGTAACTTAGTGAAGCACAGCAATATGCAATTTTCATTCAACATCTGGAATATCTTTAAATACATCTGAAACTACTTACTGTAACAATCACTTGCCCATCACTGATTTCATAATTAAGGAAAATTTGAACTTGCTGAAGAATAGCCAAGATGAACATTCAGGATAGCTGAGTTAAAAGAAAAGTCTGCTATGTAAATTCCAAACCCAGAAGATCTGATTAAAATGTCAAGAGTTTTGAAGGCAGCTTCTGTATTTCCCTGTTGTTCTTCTCCTCTCTGCAGAAAAAGTTGACAAAATAAATTATAAATCTGAAGACTGAAATTAATATCTGCACATTAAACAGACAGCACACTCCAGGGTAATCTTATTTCTTAAATTCATAATGTCTTAACTTCAAGGTGTATGAACTAAAACAAATTACTACCATTCACTTACTGATTTTCAGTTAAAATACTATTTTAAATCTTTAAAGCTGCCAAGGTAGACCTGAAGAAATTAGAAATGCTGCAAATGATACCTCAAGTCATCACACCACTAATTATTGTCATTTACACAAAAAAAAATTATGATGAACTACCTTCCCTCCTACTCTAGAATGTTAAGTAAATGTTTTGTATTTTTTCCACTAGATATACTATCATTCTACTATTACAGAGAAGAGGGGTCTGGTAAAGAAACTATAGTCAAAACCTTTCCTGTTTACAGAGATTTTTTTAAAGATAATTTCATTATTGATCTTGCATGAATTCTCAGCAATGTCTAAATGCAAGTGTAGACTTGCAGCAGCCATACCAACAGTCTAACTCATAGCTCTAGCAGTGTGGTATCTTATATGTGGACTACTCACTTGTTGTAACACATGATTCACTGGCCACTTGCATGACTTCTGTCATCCAGCAGGGAAAGATTATAAACCAGGAATGTTGTGTCCTACTCAAGCTTCTGGAGGTTTGTTACTCTAGTGGTTACAGTTAGCGCTTATTAAGCAGGCAGTCTAGCCTGCCGCATTTGTGATTCATGTATTGAAAAGAACTGGTTGTTCATCTCGGGTTAAAAAGATCTTGCACAGTCTCTCATATCTTATTTATCAAACAAGGAGAGGAAGTACCGTTGTCCTGTGCTCAAGCTAACCTGTATGAAGCCCTGCCAAACAGCCAGAAGTGCAAGGAAGACACAATTACTAACTAAAGTACCTACCATGTCCCTTCCTGTTTCCAGCACAACCAATTTCAAATGCATGCTTGGAAAGAAAAATGAATTTAAATCAACCCCCTAAGATCACCTAGCCTTTAAGCACCAAGATTAAACTTCTCATAAAATAGCTCAGCAATGAAGTTTAGAGTGGTAACGTTGCATTTTTAGAGAATAAGTTTGTAAAAGTAACAATGGCCCTCCATGAACACACACACTCTCACCGAGGTAAACTGCAACCTAGCAAGGAACAGCTTTAAAATTCAGTATCTGTTCAGAATCTGACAAGAAAACAAAATATACAAATGTGGTAGTAAAAGCTGCAAAATAGAACAGAAAAACACTTAAATACTTGCCATTTCTATGCTACAGTCAGCCCTCAACATATTGGTGAACAAGAGTATATTTTATAAAATTTGTCACTATTTTCTTCAGTTTCATGGCTATCTTCTGTTTCTCCTTTTAGGGGTTTTTTTCCCTCCTCAAATAAACAGCCAGACACTGTTCCACTTACCCAGGAAATGTATGTCCATCCTAATCTCACTGCTTTTTTTATCTTTATCTGTTTTCCAACTACAGAGAGTTATCTGGAACACAGCTGCCTACCTGGAAGCTATTTCTCTTATAGCTAACATAGCTACAAATTTTAATGACTGAGAAGCTGCTGAAAGATAGAGACTTTGCTCCTGTCTGTCTCATTGGTGAGGTATACAGGACATGTTAACAAACACTGTCTTTGTGCAGGAAATCCATCTGTACTGACAAACTCAAGATAAGCAACTACCTGTGTGTGAGATGCTGTCAGCATAGGCTGAACAAAACTAAATGTACATTAAGATAATAATGCTAACTTTGGAAATTATTAACCATGAATAAACCCAGCTTTTTTTACTCTTCCAGTTCTCTCTCCCAGGGGGGAAATGAGAGAGGCTGTGTGTACTCTCATAGAAAAAAACAGAAAAACTTTGAGCAGCTCATTCTGTGACACTAATATCTAGTCACACCAACCAAAAGATATGGTGTTATGGACCCCAACATCTGGATGTTTTGTTAGACAAGGCAGAAGGCAGAGTTTTCTGTGTCCTGGCACTGTTTTTCAGATGACCCCTAATAAACCTGCTCCTTGACATGCTAAATCCACATTTTCAGCTGACCAATAACCTCCTCTGACATTTGTGTGTGGTCCAGCCCATGAAAGAAATAGAAGTATAAATGCAGATGACTTTTTCATGTTTTAGACCAGGTTTAGTATAGACTTCCAGTGTTGAAATTGGATTGTGCACAAATTCGATGCAATCTCAGAATGCATTTTTTCTCCTATCTCATATCTCTCTCACTTTACCATCCTGTAGTGGAAGAGGGAGTTAATGAAGTCTCTGAACCACCAAATGCCCTCAGTTTGTCTCCCTTTTCTTACAGAGGTGACTATATTTGGTGCTTTGGTTTCCTTTGAAAAGTAACAAATCAGAGGCTACCTAGCATGACCCAGTAACTTGCCTCAAGGAAAGATACAACCAAGCATTCTCTTTAGGCAAAATTCCCTGACTGTGTTACAGAGGTGACAAACAAAAGAAGGAAACAAGTCATTAAGGAGTTTATTTCAACCCAGATCAAAGGCAAGGACAACTGCTATAAAAAACGAAAACACTAATTACATATTCTACAAAAAAGATGACATGTCAGAAAACAGCTTTAGTTTTAATTCCAAGGAAATGAAGTGCATTAAGAACCGCATCACTGGCCGAGAAAGGGAAGGGATTGTCCCTTCTGCTCTGCACTGGGGCAACCTTGCCTCAAGTCCTATGTGGAGTTTTTGGCACCACAGTGTAAGAAAGACACTAAATGATTAGGGAGTGTCCAAAGGAGGGCACAAAGATGGGGAAGGGCCTTGAGGGGAAGCTGCATGAGGAGCAGCTGAGGGCACCAGGTCTGTTCAGCCCGGAGGAGGCTGAGGGGAGACCTCACTGCAGTTACAGCTTCCTTGTGAGGGGAAGAGGAGAGGCAGGCACTGAGCCCTTCTCTCTCATGGTAAGGCAGGACTCAAGGAAACAGCGTGAAACTGAGTCAGGGAAGGTTTATGTTGGATATCAGGGAAAGGGTCTTCACCCAGAGGGTGGTCAGGCATTGGAACAGGCACCTGAGAGAAGTGATCACAGCACCAAGCCTGACAGAAGCACTTGGACAACACTCTCAGGCACATAATGGGATTATTGGGGTGGCTTCCAAAGGGACAGGAGTTGGACCCAATGATCCTGATGTCTCCCTTCCAATTCAGCATATTCTGTGATTCTATGAAATGCTCTGGTATGTCAGTAACAAGTGATTTTTGAGAAAAATAGAACTACATTATTTTTTGGAGACATTGCATCACTGGTAGCAAACCCATTTCTCATACAGGCACTCCACTATCAGCTGTTGAGAGAATCAAACAGAGTGGAATGCTAAAAAGTCTCCTGAAAGTAACTATTTATATAAAGGAAATTACCATTATGGTACTGGTAGCCTTCTATCCATGGCTATAAATTTAATTCACAGCTTAATGTAGAGGTAAAATGGACAGAAGACAGTGTCCCTAATACAGGGCCCACCTTGGCCCTCCTGTATTTGGTGTCAACAGCTAAAAATCCCCTGCCTGCCCATCACAGGTTCTGTAGTTTTCTTCTTTTCATTTACCATGTACAAGATCCAGCAAGACTGTATCTCAAAAGCTAGGTTAGTTTGTTCAATTAGAGGAAGCACAGAATCCACTGTGTTAACACATTTTCTAAACTGTTAAACTTTGGTCATTAAACACCAGAAGTTCTCCCACAGCATAATTCTAAATCCTGGTCAGCAACACCCCCCCACTGTCAAATGTTACTTAGTATAATATTATAATGAAACAAAAGATGTTACAGACTGTGAGTAACAGACACAGAAATACAAAAAAAGTCTTTGTGTTCTGCAAGGTAAAATCTTCAAGCATGATCAAATTACATGGAAGACCATAAAGAAAAATTACTTTTATAACAAATACTGAATATTAGTGCTTCAACAGACACTACAGATGCTTCATGTATTTCCAACAGTTGTGTATGTTTACAATACAGAGCCAATATTCAGGGTGAATTTGGTGTTATTTGTACTTTGCAGGATTACAGGCCACCCAGAGGAGTGAAAAATTATAAAATTTAACACTGTGGCTTGCCTATGAAGTAACTCTTGAGTAATCTAATAGAGATAAAATTATATTCTATGTGTAAGTATTCCTTTCACCCTTCACTTCATACTCTTTTCACTTCCCAGGATTCAAGACACTTAATTTTCAGATCGATTCAGCAAGGTAATTAATTTTAAACACTGATTTCAATGGCAGTACTCAAAAATATTCAGACACCTTTAAGACTGAAGGCCCAAAGCCATAAGAGGCAATTCTTATTATAAATAACTAAATAAACAAGTAGTAAATAAACAAAATAAACAAGTAGTACTATAGCCCTAAACCTTGCAGTTACCCTGTCAGAACCCTTGGAGGTAACCTGTCAGTACACAATGTTATTTCTCACCTGTACTACTGCTCAGTAGTTAATCATTTTTCTAAGAGCATCATAGCATTTCCATTTGTCTGGGATGTAGAAGGGCTCAAAGATGTGAGGGAAGGGAGTGTCATAGCCACATACTCTTGCAATAGGAGCTTCTAAATTCAAAAAGCATTCCTCCTGTTAACAGAAATACAGAATAAATGTTAGTGAGGACATTATTTTCAGGAGTCTTCTATCACAAATTGAGGTCAAATTAACTTTGCCAGACTGACAGTCCTGGAAACTTGAAAGTTCTATTTATATCACTGAATAAGTAGTCATAACCAGAATAGTCCTTCCTCTTGCACAAAGGTACTTATTAAAAAAACAACTTGTATTAATGTTATTTTCATTCTCTACACGTGTGCTGCATTAAATCATAGGCAGGTTATATTTAGTACATTTGCTATACATCCAGACTACTGCTGCCAAGAAGCAAATATTTTAGGAACAAAGGAGTAAGAGTCTCTTTCCTGTGCCACTTTTAAGCATACAGAATAACTATAATCTAAGAGTGCATAGTATTTGTTGGCTAAAGGAACATCATGTTCAAACTTCTTTGAACTCTTAAGATTATTAAGGCTCTAAGCATAAAGCAGTTATGAAAATTAAGTGGATTTGCCTATCCTGTGAGTCAAATCCATGCTCTACACAACCCCCCACAATTTGTGTTCCACTTGGGAGATCAGATTTGATAATGACTGTGAGAGTTTCATTATTTTACCTAGAATGGCACAAAATACTACAAATACCACATTAATTGGAAATTAACCTGTAAATATGTAACATTATCAATCTTAATAACCAAATATATAGTGTGATCTTCTTACTGTCAAGTACCAGAATGATGGCATGGACCACAAAAATCTGTGAGAAGCAGATGTAGATAACTACAACTGATGTTGATGCTAATTATCAGCTCCCTTTCTCCCCATATCTTTAGTACAGGTATTTGCTTTCCAAAGCAGACAAATGAAGTGATAAAACATGTCTCCTCCTGGTCTCTCCTTTTTGGAGTGCAGCAACTGAGAAATCCTGGCCAACTTCCCCTGTACTTGGCTCAGCAAAATGGAAGATGAAGTATAATCTACCGGTCTTTTTCCGCCAGGCCCACAAGGAAAATAGTTAAAAAGCTATGCTTTTCTACAAACGAGTGCTAAGTATTTTCTCAGACTGATGAACTGTTTTGAATGCATGTTGCCTTGCAGTCCATGGCAGCCTAACTCTGCTTACTGTGCTTTCTATACATCACAATATTTGGCAGTATAGAAGGTACTGGTAACACACTGAGATCACCTTTCACTCCAGCATTGTGAAGTGCACAATGAACCAAAGTAAAAAGTCCAAGAAATTGTATGATTGCACACAGTATCAATTACACTTAATAATGCATTAATTCACCTAGAAAACTTCAAAGTTTGAGTATGCCTGAGGCAAAATATATATGCAAACAACATAAACATTTTTGAGCTCCATTTCCAGACACTTTTTTTTTTTTTGTAAAGCGAAAGGTTCACATTAATACAAAATAATGAGAAGCAGAGTGTAATAAATCCATTATCTGTCCACAAGGTAGATGTCTTATTCTGATTTTCTGGCAAGGATAATTTTGATCCTAAACAGTCCTTGATTCCTTGATTCCCATGACCAATAAGACATGGCAATAATTTTTGGACCACCCCAAAACTGACAGCTGCATTACACCAAAACATGCAAGTTTATTCTAGACCCACAGCCTCCCAGTCCTGCAGTGCTGTTTTCAAGTACCCAACACAGACCAATATCTAGGAGACAGACTGTCTAAACATACTGATGTCTTTCTAAGGAAGATGTTAGAAAAAAACTTCAAAGTTAAATGGTTCTGGAAGTAAAGTAGTAGGCATAGGATTTCCCATTCAGCATAAAACATTTTGAAAACCTGTATGAAAAAGTCATACTCTATTAGCAGGATATCCACAACTTCCAAACTTCAATTAAAGTAAAAAAATATTTTGTTAGAAAAATAAGTGTTTACAAAAGCAACAGCTATAGTTATTAATTCAATATATCTAAATTTTTCTTAATGTAAAAATATAAAAACAAAAATTAAATTGCTGTTCCTCTTGCTCTGCTTCCTAATTGCAGAGGCCAAATTCTGGCCAGTTATTCAATATGATACAATTTTCCTTCATTTGCCTGATTTTCACTCAAAGCTTTCTGGAAAATACACTATTATATTAGGATATACAGGCATATAATTGGTCATATAATTCTATTTCAACTATTTGATGCTTAATGCACACTTATTAAAAGACTTTTCAAAACAATTTAAGAGCACAGGTCCCACTAAAAATGTGTTCTTGAAATTCACAGCAATCAGTCAAACATGTCACACACAACACTTTAAAACAATCACATGCCTTGGCTTTGAAAATAGGAGCTAAACCCAAGGACTTGCTGGAATTTGCATAATTGTATGTGAAATGGATCCTCCAGTATGTGGTATATTCAATCTATTTTCCCAGATTACAGTATCCTAGTATGATAATATAGAAAACTTATCCAAGGTTATTTTAGCTTTATTTAAAAGCACATTTTACTTTTATCAGAGATTCAGGTACTCACTGCTAAATCAGGGTTCTAAGTTACAAATTCTTAAATTAAATTAAATTAAAATTTATAATTAAAATTTAAAATTAAATTTAATTTAAAAAATTTGAGTGAGAACAGCTGACATTTACAGAGATACAGAGTTGAACAAAAAGGATAAAATAAAAAAACAAGTCCATTATTGGGCATTACTGAAAGAAAACATTACTCATCCGTCTGCAATGTATGGAAAAATAAAGCAATCTCATCTGCCATTTGGAGGAAGTGCTTTCAGGTATCTGGTCAAGAAGAAGGTAGTTAAAAGAGTTTTTTTGCTCCAGCCTGTCCTTCCTCTGAAGGGAATCTCTACAATTCCACAGTCATAGTAAACCGACCTTCAAATGCAAACACTTTGGTAAGTAAGTACTGGTAAATGAGACTATTTAATGCATAGCTAGCAAATCAGACAAAGTCAAACTCAGTCTTTCTCTGTATTATAGTTTTACTTTATTTCCATATTTTTTGGATCTATTTCATTTTTCCCCTCTAGCTAGCGTGGATTAAAGTCCGTAAACAGGATTTTTTCTTTATTTTTCATTTCTACTTGTGTGTAGAATACTTCCTAAGTGAGAAAGCTTTCCTTTAAAAATAAATCATTTCTGCAACAATTTATGTCCTCAAGCTCTCTCCCATACTATTCTTATTTTGCAACACTACAAGTACTCCAAAAAATTAGCAGCTACTAGAATGTACAGATGGCTACACAAGACCACTGATTTTACAACTCCTTTTTCAGCACAGGAATATACTTACAGAGGATGATAAACAAAAAGTTTATAGTAAAAGCTAATATGAATACAAAGAGTTGGATAGAACTCTTGATATTTATTTTGGTATTATAGCTATTATAATAAAAAGAAGACTAAAGTCCATTACAAAAGACAAACCATAGGAACATTCTTCATGCAACAGTACTCATTTTTCGGCTGACAATAACTACAACATTTACACTCAGGAATTCATGTGACAGGTTGCAAAGCTTTAATTAAATTGTGGTCAGTTCTTAATTTTGACATCTCATCTACAGATTATAAAATTTTAAGAAACACATATTTAACTGAAGAACTTTTCAGAGAGAAAATTTCAATTAATTTTCAAATCAATTAATTAATTCAAATTAATTTGCATCAGTTTCACTTTCTGTTCTGGATTTTTATTCAGATATATTTATGTTGCTGCCATAAACTAAAGTATGGGGCTTAAACAGTTAAGAACATTTATTTCAGATCACACTGTTGGTGATTGTTACATCTATATTATCTATTACTTCCACATATGGATTTTTAACTGTAGATTACCTACTATAGTAAAAATAAGATGAAACATGCTATAGATTAATAATGAACACAACAATCTCATTTACAATAAAATCTAGTTTTTAACTCATAACTTAGATTTTCACAAGAAACTTTCCAAAGACATTGTCAATCAAGCCCCATTTTGTAAAATGTGAATTTCATGCAATAAAGATTACACTAAATAAAGATTAAACAGCTTTTTCCTTGGTTCCTGCTAAAAAATAATGTCTTATTTTAAAAATTTACTTTCTATACCAGAAAAATCAAGCATCTGCAGATTTCATATTTCTCAATTGTAGTACTTTCCTTTACAGCTGCAAGCACCAAATGCTACACATTTTAAACATAATTTGCTTTGACAACATATATATGTCACATTCCTATGAACAGTCACCTCTATGACCTACATAAGTACTATACAATGCACCCACAAGATATTTTCAAGTTGAGATATGTGGAGAGAGAGAGATCTATGTACTTTCTTTAGAGAAACTTTTTCTTTCCAACAGCTTAGCCATTTTTGTCTGAAAATATTTGTATAAATCTTTTCCTGATAGTTACAACAATTACACAATTTTTCCTCAGAGAACTCTGCAGATGTATGTTGTAAACTTTTAACTTCTATCAAATATTTTTCTCCTTTCAAATCACTTGAAGACTATATAACTTAGCACAGATTAATAATGATCCATTTTATTTGTTACCAATTCTTTGAAATTATGTAATTTATATCTTGTCAAATACACAAAAATAGTTAGCTGCTAAAATTATTTCTTTTGTAATTGCTAAAAGAGATGGCATTTTTACTTAATAAATACTTCATTAATTATAAAACAAAGAAAAATTTAGGGGGAAAGAACTCTGTTCTGTGTAATTCATTGCCTTGTTGCCATTAAAAAACAATTAACTGCAAATATAGTCTTTACAGTAATAATTAACATAGAATTTACAGAATAAGTAAAATTTATTCTATGAAAGATAAAGTATTATAACATAAAATGAACAATAAATACTGAGGCTTAAAGCTTGCCTTCAAATTTCATTTCAGCCAGCTTCAAAAATAAATAGAACAATCTTTTATAACCCAATACACAACTGGTATGATCTGTTAAATTTTCCTTATCAAGTTAACAACAGAACCACTCCAACAAACATTCACAGCAAGAGTATTAACTTGAAGCTGTTGGAATTAGAGCCTTGGTTACTGGCTGA